CCTCAGAGGGCCATAAAAGAACCCAGTGAGATAATGATGAGAGTGCTTTATGAACCGTAAAGGGTTTTACTTGGTAGTTTTCCCTTCTGTCCTAAAACAAATAACCCTTTCTTTTCATAAAGACCACATTCAGGTCGGCCACATTATTTTCATGCAATATCTTAAAAAATAAAAAGAACTACAAAAAAATTCACGAAGAACAAAATATCAACCTTTTCAATAAAGCCCGGATCAGGACCAGTGCCCCTCCAAGCCATGCGGGTGCCTCGAGCAAAAGGGAAATTCAGTAATACTGATCCGGTCTTTATTGAGAATACTTCATTCGTCACAAATTTTTTTGCATTCATGTTTATTTAAAATTTTGCATTAAAATATTATTAATCCTGATTACTGAGTTTTTGCAGGTTTTCCCATCATCCTGTCCTCAGAACAAGGAAGAGAGAGGTGGGCGCCCGGCCAGCACTATTCTTGCACCCCGGCCAGAGTAGAGGAGGAGGGAGGATGGGGGACAGAGAGAGCAGGAGGGAGAGGAGGGACACAGAGGCCTGGCGTCCAGCCGGGGCTCTGGCCTGGAGCCTCTAACAGCTTCCAGCTGCTTCCACACCCACCAGACTTCCTGCCTTGGGAGGGGTGTTGGGTTGGATTTCCCCCCTCTTTTCTCATCAGATGAGTGTTCTAATTAGATCCTTGGATCCCCTCACGTCTACCAGTCTTCCCGGTCTTAACATTGACCACTCCCCTTTGTTGAACCTATTCTGACCCTGGATCTGCCCCTGTTTTCATCCATCCTGGGAGCCCCTTCCAGGTCTGTGACTGGCTGCTGTCCAGAGCATCCGCCCAGTGCTGGGTGAGCACCGGGGTGCAGGTCCACGTTCCCCATGGCTCTGGGACAAAGCCGGCCTGAGGGGCAGGGGGAGGGTGTTTGCCAGGCTGCAGGAGCAGGTCTGAGGTAGCAGGAGATAGATCTGGACCAATTGTAGGATTCAGCCTTGCCTCTCATATAGGAGCTGGGTTATATTTACCTCTTTAAGCTTCAGGGGTTTGTATGTGGGGGAGAGGGGATTTGGTTGTTTTGTTTTGGGAAATGAAGGTGTTAATATTTTTCTGCCCACCTCATAGGACCATAAAGGAATCAAATGAGAGAATGATGAGTGTGCTTTGGGAATGTAAAGGGTTTTAGTCGATATTATCCCTTCTGTCATAAAACAAATAATCCTTTCTTTTTATAAAGACCACATTCAGATCGGCCACATTATTTGACCTAAATCACTGAGAAAAGTCCTGGCTGATTCAGGGGCTAAGCCCATCCCTGCCTTTAATCAGCATTTCTGTCAGACTAAAGCAGGTCACGAGGAAAAGCTGGATCCTGCCCCCTCCATCCACATTCCATCACGGTGCAGACGTAACGGGTGGGCCAAGACTAGATGGGTGGTTTCCTTCAGTGTCTCTGCTGAAGGCTCCCCCCCTTTTATATACCTTTACTAGTATTAAGGGTAAAATTTGATATGTTTTGTGAAACTATACCCACAATTAAAATAGTGCACATATATGCATTATCCCAAAGTTTCTTCCTGCCTCTTTGAAATTCCTCTATTCACTCCCTCCCTATGCAACTTCTGATCTGCTTTCTGTCACTATAGATTAGTTTGCATTTTTTTTTAGAATTTTATATAATGGAATCGGACACTATACACTTTTATTGGTGGAGGGGCTGGCTTCTTTCACTCAGTGTAGTTATTTTGAAATGCATCCATGTTGTGGAGATCAGTAATTCACTTCTTTTTGTTGCTGAGGCAGATTCGTTGTATGGGTGTGACGCATACGCTGTTCTCATGTTTTCATGGACATTTGGGTGTTTGAAGTTTGGGCTCTTCCAACACTCTGACCATTTGTGTACAATCTCTGTGTGGACATGTGCTTGTATTTCTTTTGGGTACAAATCTAAGAGAGTCAATGGTTTGTTTGATAACTGTATGTTTAACTTTAAATGAAATTGCCAAACATTTCCAAAGTGGAGATGCCATTTACATTGCCACCAGGAGTGTCTGAGTTCCAGGTCATCTACATTCGTGCCAATACGTGGTATGGTCAGTTTTCATTGGCGCTGTTCTGTTGGGTCTGTGGTGTTAGCTCATTTGTATTTGCATTTTCCTAGAGACCGTGACATTGAGCATCTTTCCATGCACTTTGACCTTGTATACCTTCTTTGACGGAGTGTCTGTTTAAATCTTTTGCCCATTATTTATTGTGTTTTTGCTATCTTAATAGTAAGTGTAGTAGTTCTTTATGTGTGCTACATAAAAGTCTGATGCCAGTTACATGTTTTGCAAATCTCTTCTCTCCGTGTATGGCTTACCTTGTCATTTTTTGTAAGAGTGTCTTTTGAACGGCAAAGTTTTTTATTTTAGTGAAGTTCAGTTTATTGATTTTTCTTTATTGTTGGTGCATTTTGTGTCTAATTCAAGAAATCCTTGCCAAACCCAAAGTCATTAAGTTGTTTCTCCTGTTTTCTTCTAGTTTTAGCTCTTACATTTAGATATTAGTTGATTTTGAGTTAATTTTTTAAAATCTTTTTTAAAAATTGATTTTTATAGAGAGAGGAAGGGAGTGGAATAGAGAGATGGAAACATCGATGAGAGAGAAACATCGATTGACTGCCTCCTGCATGCCCCCTCCTGGGCACCTAGTTCGCAACCTGGGTATGTGCCCAGACAGGGAAACAAACAAGCGACCTCTTAGTGCATGCGTTGACGCTCAACTACTGAGCAACACCACCCATTCTTGATTGAGTTAAGTTTTGAATGTTTGTAGGTCAGGATTTTTGTTTTGTTTCGGTACGTGATCACCAGTTCTGCCAGCACCCTGTATTGAAGAGGCTACATTACCCCACTGAATTGCCTTTTTACCTTTGTTGAAAATCAGTTGACCATATATGCATGGTTTATCGTTGGACTCTTCTGTTCCCATTAGCTGTTTTAATTTGAATTCATTGGGGTGACATTGGTTAATAAACATTTATCTATACATCTATATGCCAATACCACACTATCTTGATTACTGTAGCTTATAAGTCAGTAGTCTGCCTTCTAACTTTATTCTTCTTTTTCAAAGTTTTACTTATTCTAGGTCCTTTGAATTTCCATATACATTTCATAATCAGCTTGTCAATGTTTACAAAGAATTTGCTTGGATTTTGTTTGGCATTGTGATGACTCCATGGAAAAATATGGGGAAATTGCTCTCTTAACAAGATTGAGTCTTCTGGTCCAGGCAAACAGTTTATCTTTCCCTTTATTTGGATTCTAGTTAACTTCTCTCAGCAATGCTTTGTAGTTTTCAGTGTACATATTTTGCATATCTTTTGTAAATGTATCCATATTTCCTATTTTTATGCTATTGTGATGTTTTAAAATTTTAATTTTTCATTGTTTGTAACTAGTATATAGAGATACAGCGGATTTTTTAAAAAAGAATATGGACTTTGTATCCTGATCCGCTTTTTAAAAGTTAACAGAGCAGGAGCCTGGAAGTACGGAGGTGCAGGGTATTTGCATGATATGCTAAGCATTTAAAACGGCATCTAAAACATCAGCATCTTTCCCTGTTTTAAGCCACGAGCACATTCCATTAGCAGCCCGGTGGTCAGCTGTGGCTGTAAAGGGTGCCAGAGAGGGGGTGGTCTGGTGCATCTGACCCTCCATGGGCAGCGCTCCCCGGGTTTGGGGGGTATGCTTGGGGGTGAATGAAACAGGTGACAGTGCAGTGTAGCCCCTTTAAGAGACCGGGGCCAGCCAGCCATCAGGCCACTGGGGAGGCAGCCCGGCAGATAAGATAAGGCCCCCGGCTGCGTTAAGCCCAGGTCCTGAGCCACAGTGGCTGGGCTACTGATAGCCAAACAGGAACCAGCAGTGATAAGGAGAAGGTGCCAGGACTAGACCCAGGCTGGCCCGAGGAGCAGCCCCATCACCCATTGGACCTGAAAGGGGAAGAGAGTGTTCATGGTGGGTGTGAGCGCGAGGGCATTTGCATTCTCCTGTATATCCCATCATATTCATGATCAGTTTAAAATTCCTACTAGATGGCACTTAAAGGCTTTCTGTGTAGTGAACGTTCCATAAATATGTTTATTGAGCTCTTGATGTTCTCTCTGCTCATATCTTTGCCCTGGTGAGATGCTCTGATACAGGCTTTGGAGACTACCTGATGTTTTGCTCAAACTAGAAAAATCCTGCCATGGACTTAACTCCAAAGAGCCTGGAGCTCCCCATTCGCACATATCTGTATAGATTTACATACATCCTACACGGAGACACTATTATGCTGGATGTAGATTTCCCCAAATCAGCCGCCTATTTTTAAAGGGATGAAGAGGGGATCCGTGTCTCCCCATTCCTGCCCACCTTTCATCTGCATCCTGCAAGGGTGTGAAAATGATTTCTGCTACGATGACCTGTAGAGACGACCTGTGGCCACGTAGTTCATGCAGACCCGAGCAGTCCTTGGCCTGTCAAGATGTTTCCCCTCTTCCTTTCCATTTCAGTTCCTAGTGCCACTCTCCAATCTCCTGAGTGAGGCGGGCCGTGATTAAGCAAAGAAACCCTCTAGCTAAACAGCCAGGAGCTGAAACTGCTCAGCCACCTGGAGGGATTGTGCGCTGGACCCGGACAGAGGCCCTTCCGCGGCCCGCGGCCCGCCTCCCACGGCCTCTGTCCCAGGCTGGGAATGCTATGACTACCTTTGTCTGCGCTCCCTCCACCAGGAATAAATAAAAATATCATCCCTCCCCCAGATCCCGGCTCCTCTATTGGCCCGTGAAGCAAATATTTCATAATGTGGGCTCATCCAATTGGGCATCGTGCCAGAGCCCAGCGCCTCAGGTTGCGAGTGAGCACCAATCAGGCGGGGCGGCCGGGGTGGGACTAGAGGGCTCCCCTGCACATGGGAGGCAGCGCTTGCTCAGGTGCGTGGCGAGGTGGGAGCCGCCACTTCCTCGGGGCTGGGGAGAGAGGACAGGGCTGCCCACCAGCCAGCTGGAGCCGGCCCAGCGCTGAAGGGGTTAAGGCCAGCCAGCATGTGTGGCTGTTAATGATTGCTACCCCCCAGGGACCTGGTGAGTATTCAAGGGAAGCCTTTTCCCTATTGCTGAGTGTGACAGGAGTGAGAGCAGAGGGCCCGCAGAGCGCTCCGGTGGTGAGTGAGTGGTTGGCTGTCTGTCCCCTGTCTGTGCGTCTGTCTGTCTGGGTGGCTCTGGGACAGGTGAGGGCACACTCAGATGCACCCGTGTCTTTTCTTGAGCTGGAGCCGGCTTTTGTTGCAACCGGACACAAACCCCCAGCTTGGGGCCAGATTTTTGTATCCTGCCTGTTTCTTAGAAGGGAACCTCCAGGGCTGGGTTAGTCCATCCAGGGGGCGAACTACTGGGCACGGGAGCCAGAGATGCAAACCATTGTTCCGAGGCGGAGACAATGGTCCCTGGCCACCCCACACAAAGCTGCTGCGGCCGCTCTGCCTCCCTCTCGGAGCCATTGTCTCCTGCTCCGGGCAGAGCACAGCGCGGGCCTCTCGAGGGCCGACCTCCTGGGACGGCCGGGGAGGAGGCGCAGCCGGAGGAGACTGAGATGTGCCTGCCCTGCATCCCTGTTGTTTAGGCTGGAGACGTGGACGGGAGACACAGCCGGTGCAGGGAGTTGGGGGGAGAACTCTTAACTCCTTACGAAGACAAAGTTGTCATTGGGGAGCAAAGTTGAAACCTAGGAAGAGAGGCCGCCAATCTTTTGGGTGCAGGTGCTTGCTGGCCACTGTCCTCAACTTCCCATTTAGGACCCTCATTCCCGCAACCTCCGAAACACGGCTCTCCCACTCGGCCCCGTCTCGTGACAAGTCCGATCGTGCAGAGTGTGACCAGAGCACCTGGCTCTGTCGCAGGGGGTGGACCAGCCGACTGCTCTCAGCTGAGGTCCGTGTGTGCCCGCACATGCACGTGACGGAAATGAGGGCCTTACTAGCCTCCAAAGCAGAACTGTTGACTTTGCCCCCTAAGCCGGGAGCCCTTTTGTCCTCGGCCTCTTTCTGGGGAGGAAAGAGGTTGGGGTGAAGTCATGGTGGTGGGAGGCGGCCCCGGAGGCGTCTGTGGGAGGCACAGAGTGCGCCCCGTGCCAGTCTTGAGGCAGATCCGAGAGATAGGGCTAACCCACAGGGTGCTGGCTCTTCCTGGTGCTTTCTCTGGCTGGACTGCCCGCGGGCAAACAGAAACCAGGCTCAGCGAGGGGGAGGTGCCAGCCCTGGGCGCCGCAGGGCAAGAGAACAACAGCCAGTTTCTGGGCATGTGAGCCAAGGGGGGGGTGGGTGTTAGAGACTGGAGAGGTGGGGGCCACGGGTCGTGCTCTGCCTTGTACCGGGAGTGAGCCGCCACGTGACCAGCCTTTGGGAGAAGCACACGGGGGCATGGGCACTCCAGCCCGTGGGGGCTCCCTGGGCGTGCAACCCGTGCAGTCGCCCTGCATGCTCAGGAGGGCTTGGTGCACCCCTCTGCTGTTGCCATCCTGAGAATCTTAATTTGCAAGGGGCCCTGCATTTTTGTTTTGCACGGGGCCCTGTGAATTATGTAGCACGTGCTATTCCCAGGCCCAGCCAGAAGCTGCAGCAGCAGGACGGTTACTCATATGCTCCGACAGGTGTAGGCAGCGGCACCTGTTACTCAGGTGTCACTAAGACTGGCTTCTGTCCTGGCCCAGACCTGTCTTCCTCTCTACTGACTTCCCAAAGCACGGTTCCTCCTGTCATGGCTCGTCTTCCTTCAAGGCCACCTGCACGGCAGGGCGACAGGGAGAGAGCAGCAGTGCCCCTTACCTGATTCCCTTCTCCCC